GGAACTTCTGTCAGAAGCAAACGGTAATTCCCAAAATTCGAAGTCTTTTGAACTACTAAATGTGCAAAGTTTCCACATTTTTGGAAACTGTATAATTTAGACAGCCTGCCTTCGCGAGATCATGCATTCTTCTTTCATTGGCTAGGCATTCTACCGAAAGATGGTCAAGAACATCTGTACCCAAGTGACACGCCGTGACCAAGGGAGAAAGTTATCGATGATGTCATCCAGATATCGATCAATTAGGAGAATATTGCTCAATAGTCTCAATTTGTTGAGTTTACGATGAAGCTTGACCTCAGTGAAAATGTTCCTCAAATAGAAAAAATAGCGTTGGTGTTTGAATTACGAAAAAAAATTCCAAAAATTTTAAAAATTCAAAAAACAGAAAATTCCAAATTTAGCCACTTGACCTATTTTATTCAGATTTTGATTTCTTTCTTATCAAATTTTTCCAAATTCAACACTTGCCAATTTCCTGTCGAAACAGGGAGGTGTATGTCAAGAGGTGCGATTTTTATTGCCAGATGGACACCAAATAACACATAATTGCTTTATAACATTAAAAAAGCATTTTGATTTTTGAAGGAGACATATTAGATAGCTACATGAGTTACTTGATCTTGCTGCCTTGGAATCAACTCGATAGCAATATTGAAGATCGAAAACCCATAAAAATACAGTTAAGAACAATTTCGTAAATATTTCGGTCCGTTTTCCAGCAGAAGCGAACAAACTCAGCAAGTGGTAACCTCAGAAAGATAGTAAGCCAACGCACTTTATCTGGTACTCTTTGGAGACTCGCTAGCACTAAAGTGGGGTTCTGCGTGGGTGACAGCCGGAGAAATCGCGCCTCTTGACCTTCTCCCGAGACCGTGCCACAGGGAGATGCAACCACTTTCAATGCAAACCGAAATTATTTTTAGTAAAAGAATACCCGGAATTTTAGAGAAGAAAATGGAAGAAACTTTCTGTAGCGTTGCGTTTCGGAAACTTATCCATTATCTCGACGCATTGACCTTCGTTTGCTGTGAAAATGCCAGCGGAAATTAAGCGGGGCACACCATCAGCATAATTTCCAAGGTCGGTAGTAAACCTATCGAAACTCAGAGTTATAACTCAGAGTTAGCTCTGAGTTATCTCTGAGCTAACGCGCAACATTTTGACCCCCTTAACAGGTGTTTGAACAGATCAAATCCGGAAAGCGATGATATGGCAGGATTCTCCTTAACACGTAGTTTATTCCTAGTAGCGCAACATTGTCCAAATTGTCCTGCACAAGAAACAGCGCCACCAAACGCGCAACTAGTGTCTGCGATAACTCTGAGTTTGGTGCGAGTTCCAGTCTATCGTGGAACTCAGAGATAACTCTGAGTTTGGTCAGAGAAAGAGAAATAGTGCGCAAAAGAAGAGGGGCAGCTAAAAAGTCCTCCGGGGTACATTTTGCTCGTAGTTTAAGCAGGCATGATGGGGGTATCGTGGTGCGCAGTGATTTACAAAATTCTGAAATTTTGTAAAAACTTGGCCCAGGGGGTTAATCGGTGCGCTAATCACGCATATGGTACCCATTTTTCACTATGGAGTCATGTAGAGGTGTTACGGTAGGTTTATGGTAGATGGGAGAAAATCACGAAACTGATCGAAACTTGGTACACTGGAGTTGTTCGGGATGCAGATTACGGACAATCTATCTGCTACATACACTGGTGACATATGGAACGGTTACGGTAGATATACGGTAAGTAAGACGAAATCATGGAAGGGCAACTTTGCCAGAGGATTTATTCTGTGCGCAAATCCTAATAGTCAATTCTTATCACTGCGTATGCCATCCGCTTTCTCTATTGTTTGAAGCTTTCAGCTGCGCAAAAGACCAATCCTCGTGATGAACCATCACTGCCCGATAGAAATGGAAATGAGTGAGGGTTTGGTATAACTTGTTTTGACCTGCTAAGTGTTAATGGAATGAGTGAGTACATTATGGCAAAGCAATTTTAGGGTTCATGGGTGTGTCATGGTCTAGCGGTTTAGTGATAGAATCTTTACGCTAGACCATACAGGTTCGAGTCCCTACTTTAACGTCGCTTTTGCAGCAAAGTGCTTAACAGCTCCTCAAAGCAAAACTCCGAGCTTGAGAGTTGATCGGAATTACGAAAGCGGAACTCAGAGTTTCAATAAGCGTAACTCGGAGTTTCAAAAACGGAACTCACAAGGGAATGGTCAGAAGTCGAAGTGGCCAAACCAGAGAAGCTGTATATCATTCGATGCAGTATAAAACGCTGACTTCGAATCTGTCTTCCTTATCTGCTTCCCGCTTCTGTGGACGAAGCTACAAGTGGTTTTATTGTGAAAAAATCATACATAAAAACAGCGAAATTGAGCACATTGTTGCGCTTTTAGCTCAGCTTCTGGCTTCAAAAATTTCAATTAAGCTAGCTGCATGTTTTGGCCCAGCATTGAGGCGAACGTGGCTCTGTACGGCTAAATTTTCGATTTCACGCATAATTTCTTAGCAAAATAATGGTCTTTAATGGCTTATAGCTTCGTCCAGAAAAGCGATAAGCAGGTAAGCAAGACAGATTTAGAGTCAGCGCTTCATGCTGCATCTAACGGTATGCAGTTTGTCTGGAATTACCACTTCGATTCCTGACCATTCCCTTGTCAGAGTTATCTCTGAGTTAACGCGGAGCTTCACACTCGGAGTTTAAACCAGATTACTACCGACCCAAAATTTTTAGTGGATCATGTGCCCCTTTGCTCTGAGCGATCAAATTCGGCAACACAGCTTTCTTGATTGAAGAAGAATTCAGAAACTAAAATAATTCGATCGAATCGAATTCAAAGAATTTCTATGTTGAATTTTTTGATCACATTTGTTTTTTTCAATAATTGGAACATCCACAGTTATTCCTTTTCAAACAAATTTTGCGACTATTGAGAATGTACACTATATTCTCCTAATTACTAATCAAATGGGCGAGTAGATAACTTGGCACGTTTTGGGCTTGGCTGTGTTAGCTTGGCTGCAGGTGCTCATGGCTATTTCAATTCAGCACAATCGGACGACAAAATAATGCATCATCTCGTGGTGCGAAGCTATCCGAATTATACAGTCTCAGAAAGGATGGAGATTGTGCACATTTGAGAATTTTTGAAAAAAATTCAAAAATTTTCAAAATTACGGTTACGCTCTCGGCAGTACTTTCGTCGCGTATAAAGTATATAAAAGTATAAATAAAGATAGGTATCGAACATCTCGGACGGACAATCTAGTATAAAAGTATTGAAGGTATGACAAAATGTTCCCATCTTTTTCTGTTAATCGTCTGAATATGTCAGGGGTTGGTTTCGTTCATTTTTTAGGCCTGGACTAATCTCAAAAGTGCATGAATTCTTCCATCACGAATATGGAAAATGTTTTCTATTCAAAATCTCTGTCTAGTGTTGGGCTCCAATCGATTGTTTATAAGAGGGGCAAACATGCATTCCGGATATCCCAGTGGCATAAGTACGGTCAAGCAAGAAATTTTGAGAGTCGATCATAATCGATTTGACTTTTCGGACTCTACAAATTTCCAATTCATTCTTTCAGCAATTTTCTTGATCGTTCAAATGAATAATCGTTCTAAAATTTTTTTGAAATAGTGCGTTTTTCTGAATACAAAACGAAATGAGAAATCATTACTTCCGAATCTTTGCCGAGAAGATCCTCCTTTGAGTTGCATGCGCATAAGTTTTTCACAGTAGCCTTTCATATGTATAGCTGCCGCATTTTTCCTTGGCCACAAATCGAGAGATAAAAATGGGCCAAAACTGACTACAACGCATCTGTGGGCTTTTCATGCTAGATGCTTTTCTTAGAACTAAAGTCTGTAAACGGAAATTCATAGTTGATTTGCAAAGGACTTCAATTCAAGCTCTGTCTATGTTGAAAGCTCGGCAGAATATGCCAATTTTCGTTTTTTTTCGATTTTCAGCCAAAAAATACAGCAATATTACGTATGCGATTGTATGTGGAAAAATGCGTGAGTGAGTACGAGGTGTGGAGGATCCTTTGGGTTGAAAACTTTTTCTTTCCGATTTTTAGGGCATATAGAGCTTTTGAAATTTAATTTCAAATTTCAGCTGATTATACTTGTTTTAAGCTTTTAAATCATTTTGTAGAGCGATCAGCTTACCGTCCAATTTTTTGTAAACGGTGTGAATGCGTTTTCTGTTCACAAAAGAACTAAAGTCGGTGCCGGAGCTTTGAAAATTCGTGCCAAAACTACTATCAAAGATATCGTTTAATAAGCTGATAATGAAGCTATAAGGAGAAGGAGAGAATGAATGGAGAGAATTGGTGTGCATTTTTGTACTCAAAACACTCATAGCTCCTCGTTCAGAGAAGTTTGCGTTTTCCTCAAAAAGTCTCCTAAACTCCATTTTTTCCCTGTTGCAATTCGATCAAATTCATGCATGTACATATTCATCGAAAGTTTTCAGAAAGGACTCCTGATTCCCGCTGATTCCATTGAGTTTTTCATCTACACTACTATAAGAGTGGTAGCTAAGTGATGCAACTTCATATACTTCAGTATTCTGTTTTGCGCGTTCAATTTAGTAATGTATAAAATGTGATGGAAGTAAAGATGCAGCCATCGGTTGAACTCTGCCATCGCATGCAAGAAAAGTAACTTCTTTTTCCTCGATAGTTTATCCTGAAAAGGGCAAAATGAGTGCTCCAGATTTTGCTGAAGGGAAGAGGGGGGAGGGGAGGATATTCGACATCCAACAAAAAGAGTTATTTATTTATTTATTTAACTCACATGGGTGTGCCAAAAACAAAGAAAGAAAGCATGGAATCTGTCATAGATTGGTATTATCATGTAGTCCTTTGTTTGAATTTGCACATACACACACACACATACACACACACACATACACATACACACACACACATACACACACACACATACACACACAAACATACACACACACACATACACACACACCTTATTATGAGTTATGATGCTCTTACATCCCATAGACCTGAACCGGGTGCAGATAATCTCCGGTGGGGTCAGAAAATTATAGGTTTCGAAGGCACGTAGACTTCATGTTTGTTCATTACCACAGGCTCATTACTGTAGAAAAGCTTATAGATCACTTCAGCATGAAAGTTTGAATGAATAAAATCTGCAGATGAGAAAATCATTATTTTATCATCTTGTTGGCCAGATACAATACCACTCTCACTACCACTTTCCGTAAATGTCGCGAAATTCCCGGAATTTCGCGACATTTACGGAAATGTTGCACGTTATGAGATGGTATTGTACAGACAGACACTCAGCTTTATATATAGGTTGTCTCAAAAAATATGCCTACTGTTTGATTGTAACTCTCTTGTAATGAAGTGTTCAAGTAGCTTCCGGTATCATTTTGTAAAGCGAGGTTAAGCTTAGATCTACTGATGGAGCGAATCATCTGTCGCTCTTCATTACTGTAGGATTACGATACGAACTTTGACAAGGATTTTAGGCCATTGGGGGCTATATTCTGTCTCGGATCAAAACCAAAAAGCCAAAAACTCATATACTAGGGTAATAAGAGCCGCTGGTTTCGAATTTGAAACTCCCATTTTACTGTGATGCTTCTTTCCTAAGTTATTCCCGATAAATCGTAATAACTCAATTCCCGGCGTTTGTCAGAAATGTAATTACACCGTCAAAAAAGCTGAAAACACTCGAAAAAGGTTGTTAGGTGGAATCAGCATGAACGAAAACGTTGATGCACAATTTTTCAGTTTTTTTTTGGAAAAAATTTTATTGTGTGGTATACACAATGGCTCCATGTGCTGGAAATCCTTACCGTAATCCTACAGTAATGAAAAGCGATAGATGATTCGCTTTCTACCGTGGGTTTGAGTTTAACCTTGCTCTACAAAATGAACCTAAAACTTCTCGAGACACTTTATCACAAGAGAGTCATTTACAGTCAAACAGCAGGTACATTTTTGGGACACCCTAAAATTGCTTTTCCAGAGGATGCTTCTCAGAGGCCAGCCTCCGGACAATCCTCTTCTTTTTCAAAGGAAAATGCCAGCGTTGAACCCCCACTCTCCAGGCGGGCTTCTACTGGTTGGTATTTATTTTTCCCTTTTTGAGACATTTTATCGGACACCCTGTATAAAATTGCTTTTCCAGCCAATGTTGACGCTTTGAGCCTTCAAAATGCTTCGGAGGACTCAATCGACTTACTCGGTTGGTATTACCCCTTTTGTTAGTAAAAGTAGTAGATTAGTAAAAGTAAAGATTAGTAAAAGCTTTATTTAGGACGAACATTCGCAGTTCGGCTCAAGGAATTCCCCCCAGATATTGCCTACGAAAAGCTCTCGCAAATCATGAAGATCCTTTTCAAACCTTGATGGTATGGTCAAAGCCAGTTTTCTCGTGAGCTTTCTGCCAAATACCCAAATATGTTCTTCCTTTTCTTGAAAGGGAGCCCCGAGTTTCATGGTGCCCGATAATTGTCTCCCTGCTTAAAGCTGCGTAGCCAGTACATGTGGAAGCACCACTATCCAGTCAAATCCTTTCATAGCCATGATGCCCAAAGTTCCTCGTCCCCCTCCCCCTCCCAAAATCGTTTCCCCAGTAAATGCCCTGTGGTCCTCAATCTTCCTCGTTCCCATGGTTTTTCGAGTGGCCGAGGTTCTCTCCTCCAAATCTCCAAGTAGATCTTTTTATTAACACGGTGCCCACTCTTTGTCTTCCCCTTCTTTCCCCTTTAGGGTCCCATGTTGAAGCCCGAAACTTTCCCTCCCAAACGGTTTTCTAGCCAGATCCCCTCCAAATCCAAAGTATGATTTTTGGTTTGCACCATGCCTGCCCACTTTTCCTCTCTCCCTGGAAAGCCCTGGAATTTTCCATCCCTAACGGTCTGGCTAAGAAGCCCAGGTTTCTTCCCTCCGATTCTTTCCGAATATACCGGGCTTATCAAACGCACTGTCGCTTGCATCAGCGTTTCCATTTTCGCGCTGGACTCTGCGTCTCTTCAGCGAATATGCTCTCTAATTACTTCCAATCGATTGAGGCTCCGCCTTTCCCACGCTCGCCTTGGAAAAGTGATCAGAGAGCATGTTCTTGGAAGAGATGCAAAGTCTATCGTGGGAATGGAGATGCTGATGCAAGCGACACTTCGTTTGATAAGCCCTGTAAGTTTTTCTTTTGCACGCTGCACATTCTCTCTCACATTCGTGATCCAATGTGAAAACCCCACAACTCACCCGCAAACGGTTTTCCGGCCAGGGTGCCCAAGTTTCTTCCCCAAAACCTAAAGTATGAGCTTTTGGTTTGCACAGTCCACTTTTCTCGCTTCCCTCCTTATTTAAGCCCAAAATCTCTATCCCAAACAGTTTTCTGGCCAGTGTGCCCAAGGTTCTCCTTCAAAACTTGAAGTATGAGCTTTTGGTTTGCACAGTCCACTTTTCTCGCTTCCCTTCAGGATTCATATGAAAGCCCCGAAATTTCCACCCGCAAACGTTTGTGGCCATGGTGCCCAAGGTTCCCTCCTCCAAAAGTTTCCGAAGTATGAGCTTTTGGTTTGCGAGATCCCCACTCCTTCTCTCTCCCTTTCTCACGCTCGTTATACCAAGTGAACCCAAACATCTTTTCTCGCAAACGGTTTTCTGGTCAGATAACCACTGTTTCTCCTTTTCTCCCCCTTCAGGATTCCATGTTTGAAACTCCAAAATTTTTCTCTCCCAAATGTTTTTCTAGCCAGGGTGTCCAAGGTTCCTTTCTCATCAACATACGAGCTTTTAGTTCTCATATTGCCCCCTTCTCTCTTCTCCCCTTCCCCCATTCGTGACCCCATTTTCAATCCCCAAGATTCTTTCTCCAGAGGTTTATCCCACTGATCCCAACCCTTCTTCGAAGATTCCCTTCTCCGAAAACCTCGAGTAAGAGCTCATTCAAGGATGCTAATTCCTTCTCCTGGATAGGAGATTATACGTTGCCGAAATATTTTATGCGGAAATTTCCAATAATTACGCGCACCTTCGCGTTTACATGAGGACTATTCGTCGCAGGTGTCCAAACGGAACCTCTCCTTTTCGACACCTCCCCTTTTCGACCATAGTCCTCTACCCCCTCTTCTTGCCCATAGCTGATCCCCAAATGCCCACTCCCCTACTCCCCATCCTCCCTTTTGCATTTCAAGCTTTAAGGTCGTCTACTTTGAAGTTTTCTCTTGAGGGTGCTAACTTCCACTTTGTTGTTTCACCCAAGCTCTAACGGCGCTCACTCCTTAAAGGCAGTGTCCGGGCAAAGAGTAGGTTATGAGATTTTGCTTACGGCCTATTCGCTATGCTGTATCCGAAAATCAACACTGGGGAGCCCGAAAACGACGAAGGATTTTAACGTGGGAGGGAAATCGCAGATGGGCGGGGCTGTTGTGACGTCACTCTTCCAGCTTCGAGAGCGATCTTCTGCTTCCCTTAGTCGTTCTAACATCGCCACCGAACAACTGCGAATGCATGACCTAAATGCGGAACCGACGATCGCTTCAGAAGCTGGGAGAGTGACGTCACAGTGTGAACAGCCCGCCCATCTGTGATTTACCTCCTGCGTTAGAGCCCTTTTTCTCCTTTTTCGCGCTCTCCAGTGTGGATTTTCGGAATCAGCATAGCGAATAGGCCCAGGTAAGCACCAAATCTCAAAACGACATTTTGCCGGGACACTGCCTTTAAACTCGTTCAAAGGGCACTGGTACCCACCCGCACCCATCCGAACGGCCTGACCCGCCGGAATCTGCCAAATTAGGGAAGAAGATGCGCCTAGAAACTGTCACCTCAAGGCTCACGTATAGTAGTGCGCGCCTTGTGAAATGTACGTATGGATCACAAGTAATTCAGATATCACCTTCACTTCCCTCATTTGGAGGTTTCGGCTGGTTCAGGTGGGGTCAGGCGGCTTTGGACGGATATCGGCAAGTATCGGCGCGGTGTGAAAAATGCCTTAGCCGGAAGCCAAATCTAAATTCCATACTGTATACTCTTGTGTCTTTCTATGAGCTGACCAGAGTGCTTCCTACCACCTCAGCAACCTTTGCATTCTTTGCTCGATTTATGTAGCATCATCGTTGCGTGGCCATATTTCGCTTCGGAGTGGACGAATTTTTAATCCAAGGGCACCCTTTGACTGAGCTCGGTGTGGCGCATCTTTCAATATGTAGAAGTACCTGCTTGGACACAGTAGGAGGCCAGATTCCATGAATCGTTTCAGATTTTTGCTTACACAAAACAGTCCATCCACAAAACATATAATCGATGAAGTTAAAGATCTTCCAACAATCTCGTTTTTTCAAATTTTCGCAAATTTTCTCTTATTTTTCTCACGAAATTTCACTCACACACTCATGCTTGTTCCTGTTATTTTGTTCATGTTCTTCTTTTTGTGTAACTTTGATTTGTATAATTGACTAGCTGGCTTACCCGGCTCCGCCGTATCCGGACCAAACTTGGCACACATACACTTCGGGCCCCGGCAAGTGTCACAGTCCACTTTTCGTTATCGATCGATGTCGATTTTACCGATTTTTATCGATTTTTTGCAGAGTTCACTTACAGGGCTAGGAGTTGGCACAGGGGGGGAAGTGAGCATGGGGATTCCGAATACAACATTAGTTTTCAGGATCGTCCATTACTTTTATCGACTTTATCGATTTTTTTGTAAAGTTTGACCTGCGGGGCTGGGAGTTTGCACAGGGGGGTAATCGAGCATGCTGATTACGAACACAATATTAGTTTTCAGGATCGTCCATTACTTTTATCGATTTTATCGATTTTTTTTGTAAAGTTTGACCTGCGGGGCTGGGAGTTTGCACAGGGGGGTAATCGAGCATGGGGATTCCGAATACAATATTGGTTTTCAGGATTATCGATTACTTTTATCGATTTTATCGATTTTTTTGCAAAGTTTGAGCTACGGGGCTGGGAGTTCGCACAGGGGGGTAATCGAGCATGCAGATTACGAACACAATATTAGTTTTCAGGATCGTCAATTACTTTTTCGATTTTATCGATTTTTTGAAAATTTGAGCTAGGGGGCTGGAATTTGGCACAGGAGTGTAATCGAGCATGCTGATCACCCCCCTTGGGGGTGATCAGCATGCTCGTTTACCCCCCTGTGCCAACTCCCAGCCCCCTAGCTCAAACTTTGCAAAAAATCGATAAAATCGATAAAAGTAATCGATAATCCTGAAAACCAATATTGTATTCGGAATCCCCATGCTCGATTACCCCCCTGTGCGAACTCCCAGCCCCGTAGCTCAAACTTTGCAAAAAAATCGATAAAATCGATAAAAGTAATCGATAATCCTGAAAACCAATATTGTATTCGGAATCCCCATGCTCGATTACCCCCCTGTGCCAACTCCCAGCCCCGTAGGTGAACTCAGCAAAAAAATCGATAAAAATCGATAAAATCGATATCGATCGATGACGAAAAGTAGCCTATGACACCCGCCGGGGCCCGAAGTGTATGTGTGCTAAGTTTGGTCCGGATCGGTTCAGAAATGGAATTTTCTATTCGGAACATACGTACACACAGACAGACAGACAGACATACAGACATACAGACAGACAAACAGACATTCAGCTTTATATATAAGATAAGAATGAAGTTTCCAAGAGTTACTTCCAACAGATTATCCGCATTTATCTGTTCTTCTGTTGTATTGTACATGTTTATTCGCTTATTCGCTTTATTTCCCAAGTAATAAAAATGTTTCTAACATTTTAGCAAACCACAGAAAAGCATAAAAAGTGTCTTTTTTACAAGAAACCTTTGCGATTATAATTGCTTGTTGATAGCTGAGCTTTTTGAAAGACTGATGGCTTGTTTATTACAAGCATCTCTTTGTCTCTGCATTTACATCCTTGTTCTAAGCAATCAGTCATTTTGGCAGACGATTACGAGGCGTAAATATCAGTGTGTACATCCTTTGCTTCAAAGTAGCTGAATAAGAAGAATTTATGAGCAAAAATTTACGAAGTTTGCTCTAACAAAAGTGGAAGCATTGTTAAATGCTGGTTTTGAGAAAACACGTTTGTTTAAAAATACCGGTTTTCTGGAAATTTTTATTGAGCTTTATAGATGTCCTTTTTTCTCAAAAAATTTCTGCGCCAAATTTTTAACCGAACTTGAACACATTTAAAGATTTATCATTGCTCTGAGAGGAAAGTAGGCGAGCACCATTTTTTCAGCGTTTCCTCCATATCTTGGTTTCCCTGATTTTCAAGCCCACACTAGTGCTCTACTCTGCTTGTTCCCTTCAGTTTTCGTGATTCTCAAGTGGGAAAGAGTATGGTTCTTAAAGGACCAGATAGCTCCATCAACTACGCTGTGGAAAAAGCGAATTTTGTGATTGCACAAATTTATCGATAGTGTAAATTTATAAGTCTGTCCGAGGTCTGCTTATTGTTAGTTGCTGACTAAAAAATCAGAATAACTTTCCATGCATGTGAAACACTCGCCTACTTGAATCAAGTGTGATACGATGAGAAAATCTGTAGAACTCTCATGTAGAGCATCTTTGTAGAATTTGATTACTTTACCATTTTTTTACAAACTGACCTGCCTATAATTTCTTCCGAAAAATGAGCGCATTCCATCAAAGCTTAGACAGCTACTCAACTGGAGAACTGCTTAGTTGAGAAAAACCAAAAAAACTGAATTTGATTTCTAAATTTCCCGACTTTATCATAAACCTACTCTGGTAAGAAACACATAATCGAGTTTTCCTAGAAAAGATTTCCCATGCAAATGACTTTGTCATGAAATATGTGCGAATCTTACATCTACAAAAATCGTCTCTTCGATGCACAAGTACAATTCTCCTTTCTAGTGAATATCCGTGGATTCACACCATGCAAGATAAATAGTAGGCAAGAAAATCAAGATTTAGTGAACTTTTGAGATTTCTGCAGTCATGCAGTTGCAGTTGGGTAATACATCGTATCAAAAGAATTTTCTAAAATGAGAGTAAAGATAAGAAAGGCAGAACTAACAGTAAGTTGGCTGTTGTCTCCGAGATTGACTCAACATGCAGCGATTGCATCAACGTATATCTAAACCAAATATAACACAATTCTAGTGAACTATGCCAAGAGAAAAACATTCTTAAAGGTTAGAAGTTGCTAGTGCACTAAACCCACTGTAAATGGAACTGTGCGAGACATAATAAAATTGGAAAAACGAAATCACTTCAATTTCGGAATTTTGAAAGAAGCCCGTTAAAAGTTCCAACCAGCATTCTAGATATTTCACCCCCTCTTTTTGGGTGAGCAAAGTTCGCGTTGATCGAGCTGTTCTTCGAAAAGTCATGATTTTTTGAAGAAAATGTCAAAAAATCAATTTTCTTAGGAAACTGATTTTTTGGCATTTTTTTTTCTTGACAATCATAACTTCTTTCAAAAAAGCTCGATCAGCGCGGTATTGCTCACCTGGAAAGAGGGGATCAAAAAACCTAGGATATTGCCTGTTTTGGATTTTATGGCACACTTTTGGATTTTTTAACGGGCTTGCTTAAAAATTCCGAAATTGAAGTAATTTTCTTTTCCCAATTTTATCTCTGCATTCAGAGCTTAGGAGATAGCAGCCAAGGCAGTTTTAGAAAGTGCATAAATTGCTCTTTCCAAAAGGTTTTTATTCATGCAAAAAGACTGTGTTAGGAAGAAGTTATGATTTTCTAAAAAAGGTGGAACAGAACTTTCGGACCAGCCTAATATTAGGTCGTTCCGAAAGTAATGTCGCTTTTTTCAAATGAACGCCAGATCGCTTGGAGCAAAGATCTGTAAGAGTTTTTGGTAGCATTCGATGCAGCATTTCATCCTCTTTTTAATGGTTGTAATTTCATTACATAATATTCAACAAGCTTTCAAAAATTACCAAAATCTGCGACACATGCTTTTTGCGATGGTCAAGTTCTGCTATTTTTCAAAATTCTTGTACCTACTTTCAGAAAAAGAACAAGAGACATGTAAATAGAGCAAACCCTATAAGACACAGAGTAATTTTTTCTTTTCCTTGGCTTGCTTCTTAGAGTTTCTGGTATCAATTTTTCAACGCCATCAAATTCCATATTTGGTCAACTCAAACCTCACAGAATAACAACCGGCAAGCAACTCGGGTGTCATTCGACGCAGCTTTTTCTCCTCCTTCTACAAGTTGTTTTTTGTTTTCGATTCATTAAGTATTTTGGGATAAAATCATCATAATTCATTTTTTCCAAGGCGCTCCAGGCTGTACCCGAAATTTCCGAAAGCTGCTAATCTGAAGATTGTGAAATTTCGAATTTTGTGCAATGGCTATAAAACCATTAGAAAGAGAATGAAATGCTGTATCGAATGCTACTAAGATCTCCTAGAAATCTTGCTTCTACGAAATGTAGCGTTCACCTGAAAAAAGCGACATTACCTTCGGAACGACCTAATATATTAGATAGTGTTTATATTTATGTCGCAATGAAGCAACAATGAAATGGAATAAAAATGAAAATGACTTGCCATGCAAATCCGCAGAAACCCCGTTTAACAACAACATAATCTGTATCGCTCATAAGAAGAACCATACTGTATTCCAGCATTATGCAAGGAGAACAGTTACGCGCAGGTGAAGTGGGTGGACAAACACACTGAACCTAAAAAAGTTCAGATGTATGAAGGCATTTCGTAACAGCTTAAGATTCCCACCTCACCGCTTTGTAAATTTTGACGCTTCACTACGCCAAAGAGGGCAGAGGACATTTGGTTGCCGAAAGGCGGCCCTGCGCGGACTTTTCCAACGAACCGCACTCCACTACACATTACTAGTTTGTATTAGCTAGTGTGGGTGGAGCCTATCGGCGGCCTAATGTCCTCTACCCCGAAAAACAGGGAAACGAGAAAAACCCTTACTCGTAATTCACCTATCAACAACCTCTACATTTCTGTTCGAAATCGCAAGAAGGATCAGAAATAGATTTGTCCCCGATCTGCATTAATTCTTCAAGAGTTGAGAAATCTCAAATGCTGAGCTTTCCACAAAGAACTACCCCGGATGAGTGATACGAATCAATTTGTGGCGGTGAAAGGACACAGCTCTTAGATAATGAGGACGCAAACCAATATGTATATCGCTAAAATTGAAGCTCCATGATTTAGTATAAGGTAAATCCTGCCTCTAAAGCAGTCACTCCGGCAGAGAGGCAAGATATGGGTATTGCGAAGGAGGAGTTCCGGTTTGTTACCAAAAACAAAATAGCTCTAGGAAGCTCCACCTTAGTCAAATGCAGGGCTCGGCACGAGGTGGCTAGTTGAAAATGCGAAAAACGAAGTCCCCCTTGACTTTTGCGAATTTTTACGAAGTCCCCTTTGACCCTAGACCATGGGTCGGCACGAGCTGGCGTCCCGAAATTGCAAAAAATGAAGTTTCATTGTCTTCAATGAAATTACGACATCCGCCACGAGATATTCGAAGAGTAAATACATGAAAAGGAACGGAACAAAGCCACAACAGAAAGAAAAAACGAAAAAGAATCATCGAACACACGCGATGATATTCATATTCTCTGGATTGGCGGCGTGATGTATCCATCGTGCAGCGTTACGCGCCTAGAGCAGTCTTTCCGCCGCCGTTCAAAATTTTCAAGGGGCTATAACTAAGCGGGGAGAAAGGGGTTCGAGGCGGTTTAGGAACCAGTTTGTAGGGTTTGGGAGGTAATGAAAAGTATGTAAAGAAAGTAGAAAAATTATGTGCGTGAGGAAAAATTTATGACTTTTTCTTTCCTAAGCCACCTCAGGTGGCTATCCAGGTGGCTTGAAAGCCACCTAACTCCGAAAAAAGTTGAGCACGCATTTAGTTCACATAATTTTTTCACAATTTTTCATACTTAGTCCTAACTCCCCATTGCCCATTTACACACCTATTTTGGTGTCATTTCATCTTCAATTCGCTGTAAACAAACCCTTTGTTTATTTGCCGGCGGCATGCCGGCAGCGTGCGGGCCGCAAATCGAAAGACAACGTTATGTTCTTCCGCAAAAACGATATCCCCTTTGCTTTTTCCCTAAAAACGATATCCAGCTTGCTTGCTAAGCCACCTGTGCCGTGCCCTGGTCAAATGGACGAGAAAAATCAGAAAATCACTCAAGTTTGATCAAAATCAAAATCTCTAAGTCACAGTAGTATACGCATGCTATAGCAATGAAAAATAAAACTCCACTGTCGGCAAAAAAAAGTTTCGTTATTCACGCTAATTTATAACTGTCTCAGAGACTGACTTCTCAGAAATGATAAAAGTGTCAGAACTAAACATAAAATGCCAACATGCATTCTGTGTGTCAGCAAAATATCGTCGCTGCAGAAGCATCGATGACTCTTGTATTGATTAAGATTTCTGAGTTACACCAATACTTTAATCATCAAAAAGTAGAAGCTCAGATATAGGTTGATGAATGAGAAAACGATAAAGAAGATCAAAGAGACAAAGTGTCCTGTGATCCTGTCTGGGGATGTTTGACCCAAAACATTCTTATCTACTTTTCCATCCCTGGCTGTTCTGCGTCAAAAGTGTGTTGGGTAGGGCATTTCAATTTTATGGAAAGAATCAAATTATTGCGTAAAAATCACCACATTTTCGCTAGAAGAACGTTTACGAAAAGCACCCTCTTCACTTTCTTTGGACAGCTTTCAGTAAGACTCAAAAACCCTTCTTGATTCTGTCTTGCGCTCGTTTGTAGTGATATCTACTAAATAACACCTACTAATAATATGCAAGAGACTTCTTGTGAAGGCGGGGAAGATGCGCTCTGGGCACAATTGCTACAGGGAGAGCCGGACCCTCTTCGGTAAAGGCAGGTCTCGGCTATCAAAGTTCTCGTAGAATGAAGGAGTAAATGAGTCCTGAAAGCGAAATGCGCCAACAAGCTAGATATCCGTCGAAAGATGAGACCATGGAGAATTGTTACGGGCCGTCGAATTTTTTTCTAGGTCATTTGTACCGTGTGATATGAAGGATTTTACTAGTCGATGTAACAGCTGATTTAGAGTGCTTATTTTTTTTACTCTCTTATCGCAACGAAGATGTGTTAAGAAAAACAGCCTTGGTCTCTCCTGTGTCTAGCAGTAGTTGGCCTCGGAGTAGGCGCTACGAGGACTCGGCGTGGTGTCCAGAGGTATGATGCAATCCCTCTCCAGGCGATCGGTGCGTCCACTCTCCTCGGCTTGGCTCCTCGATTGAGACCCGACCGAACTCCTCGTAGCACCGACGTTGAGACTGATTTGAGCCAAGCGAAGCCGCCTTATATAGCGGCCGGAAGATGTGCATGCCGTCCAATCGCATGGTCCCAGCACGAAACAATCAGAACATAGTAAAACAGTTGAAACACCAAATGAAAGCATACAAATCGACTAAAAAGGACTAGATAAACACAATAGAGACTAACAGAAGTACAAAGGAAGCTTAGCGATTTTACAAATGAAAGTTACGAGGAAGTCGACGGTTTTTTACTGAAGAAGACCTGCTTTGTAAATAGATAGTGTATGCTGTTCTGCAAAACTTCCGTCAAAAATCAGCATATCAGATAAAAGCAGTATCTCTCAAAAGAGTGGGGTTAGAAAAAAGTTGATGGTCAATGTCTAATTCTCGTTTCTTAAGCTTTCGAATGGTATAGTCGGGCGAAAAAACTTGCCAGTATCTAAAAATCGGGTCGAAACATTCGATAAAATGCAGCGACTTTCTCCATCCCCGCCCTCTCAATGTATTGGCTTTTATGGGTCACTGGAGCAAGAGTTTTTTGAAGCCAGAGACCGAAATGATCCGCTAAGTTATATACCATTTGAAATGAGATCATGGAGAATCGAATTAGACTTTGAGTAGTACCCTATTTTCAGGTGTATAAGCCGCACCTTTTTGCCCTAAACGCGAGCAGACCCAGGGTGCCGCTGCGCATATGTCTCGCGAAGCGGTCGCCTTATCGCATACTGCTCTCACATTGCTATCATGCTCCATGATAGCAATCAGTCTTTTGGCGTGTTCGCCTTTAGAGCGAAAAGGGTGCGGCTTATACACCTGAAAGTAGGGTAGTAATGACTCATATCTCATTATGAGGAATTTAATTGGTCAGTACATCAACTGAGTCTCCCACAATGGTCGGTCGCCTCATCGTGGCGTGGGGGTGACACTGGGTGTCGAACTGCGATGCACAGCCGAGTGTATACTCTGGCAGGGTTTCCCAAGCTGTGAAGGAGTTCGACGTTTCCGGTCTCGGCCGGATGCCTAGCTAAGAACCGGCCACGCCAGATCCCCCGCCGTCTGGCTTCTTCTGGTCGCTAGGCGGTTCTCCCCGCTCCAAGCCCGGGGCCAGCGATCGTCCCGTGGAAATCAAGAGTTGGCCTAGTAAGTCTGCTCTTGTAGGGGAACAAATTTTATTACTCAGACAGCAAGAAGATATAGAAAAAAAACCCTGTGCATCGGATCCCGCCTACGGCGCCGGGTGGTAGCAAGAACGATGTCAGGGTCCTTAGGGCGCCTTTTGGATCGGACAAAAACGACACGTCTGCCCGGACGACACGCCATGGAGACTGCCTCATGCTCTGCACCTATAACGCCAGGACAGTCTCCACAAACGCCGACCTCCACCCTCTTCTCGACGCTGCAGAGCGCATCAGGTACCACATCATCGCTCTGCAGGAAACGAAGTCCAGGAAGAAGGACGTGCGACAGATGAGTGATGGGACCCTCATCATTCGTGGTGAAAAGGTTCCATCACGAAATGTGGGAGGCGTCGGCTTTGTCGTCCACCCATCTATCGTCCATCTTGTCGATTCGCACGAGATCCTATCACCTCGACTAGGCATCCTACGACTACGCCCTCCACATCGGAAGACCATCAGCATCATCAACTGCTATTCTCCAACATCAGCAGCTGACGAATCAGAACTATGCTTTCTACGAAGACGTGGAGGAGGTCGTCCGCAACGAGAAGTCCTTTTACAAGTTTGTTGTGGGCGACTTCAACGCGAAAATCGGGATGCCACTGGAAAAGGAATATAGGATCGGGAAGTTCGGATATGGGCTCCGGAAAGAAAACGGGCAACCGTCTTGTTGGGCTTCTCTCCGCCGCACGACTCTTCCATGGAAATTCCATATTCATGAAGAAAGAACATCGCCGGTGGACATGGGAATCGCCCAACGGAACGACTTATGTGGAGATCGACCACATTCTCACCAACCGAAGGTGGAGCTTGCTCGATATCTCAGTAGTTCCATCCTTCTGCAGTGGCTCCGATCACCGTCTCCTTCGAGCGAAGGTACCATTCAATCGAATTCTGGAAAAGAAGTTTTGCCACAGTGCCGCAAGAAGGAAGAATGTCGTTTATGACGGTAACAGGCTGGAAGAGCTCATATCAAGTTGTGACTGGCCCATCGAGGAGGACCCAAAGTACGACTACGACCGGCTTCTGAAAGGATTGCGAGCCTGCGGAGAGTGGGCCTCAGTGACTTCGAGAAGAACGTGGAACGCACTTCGAAGACCACCAAGGAAATGCTCGAAAGAAGAAGATTTCTGAGGCAGGATCCGAATGCCACCCATCTCGAGCGACTGATAGCCAACGCCAGTTGCAGAACAGCTTTGCAGGAGGATCTCAGGAAGTACAGGCA